GATTCTATGATCTCATCTCTTTCCTCTCCTCAGTCCTTTGATTTGCCTCATTGTGCTTGAGATGGAGCAGAGTTTTTTACTGAGCTACTCTGATCTCCAGGAGATCCCTTCCCGAGCAGTGATGGTGGATCCAGACTGGGCAGTGTGTCTGGTTGTGTTTAGGGTTGAGGTCGCTCCACTGCTGGTCTGTGGTCATCCACACTGAGTTTTCATGTCACATCCATTCTTCCATTATTTTTCCCTGAAGTTCTCTGGTTTCTACAAGGCTTGAGGAACCTGATATTTCTTTGTCTTTATATTTTGCTGCCTCACAAACTTTCCGCAGCCTGTTGTGCTGCCAAAGCATGTATTGAAATATCTCAGCCCTCCACAGGTTGGTCAGGGTGGGGGGGGACAGAGATAAAAGTCTTCAAGTAAAAACAAAACAAAAGGAAGGGGGTAACTGGTTTTTTTTCCTTCAGGAGCTGGATCAGCTGCCTGGAACCTCTGCTGAATTTTACAGAGATTGGCGCCGATGCTTAAAAAGCGGAAAAGAAAAATACCAGTTTTTGCTTGAGCTCGGAGGGAAGGCCTTGGGCACAATGTTCCAGGCTGACTTGGGCTTTGGCCTCCTGGGTGAATTCCTTACGGTGCTGGCAGAGAACGTCTGTTGTGAGGACAGAGATGCCGTCCTTCAGATCTTACAGAGCCTTTCGCGCCCCAGCCGCTTTGGGTTAAATGTGGATCTTCTGAGCGAGTCGGAGAAGGAGAGCAGCAGGGATTTGTTTAGGAAGTTGTGGGGCATGAGCAGGGATTATTGGACCACTGGGCATCCCAGCAGCCCAGCCGGCTGTGAAGCAGAGGGGGAAGCCCACGTCATGGACACCAGCCTGCAGAAGCAAGCTGAGGAGGAAAGGATGGTGATGGAGCTGATGAAATGTTACCAGGTCAACTGAAGGAGCAGAAGCACTAGGGTCGTGCAGAAGTAGAGCACAGAAGAGGCTCAGAGCTTGACTTTGGCATCACTGTTGGATGTCAGATCCTCCTGAAGTGTTGCTGTACGTTCCTCTGTACCTGGGAGCCACCCAGAGCAATAACTCTGCACAAATAAAGGTTGGTTACTGAGAGAACCGTGTTGTGATCTCTGGGTCGGGGTGTCCTCACTGAACGACTCTGTGAGAATTTTTGAAGGAGAAACCAAAACCCAAATAGTCCCTTTTTCATCTCTGCCCGTTGCTGCTCAGGGGGTTTAAGAAATGTACTCAAGGACACTTGGTGTTTGGCCAGGCAGCTCCTGAACGTGGGACGTGCTGGTGGAGGTGGAAATGCTGTGCGAGGTGGCGTGTCTGGGACCATCCAACCAGCTCTTTGATTGTTATTCTACCCCAACCAGCAGGGCCTGGGGTCAACCTCAGAGATCCTGTCACCTCATGGTCCTATGATCTCAGACACTGTCTGGTTTGCTGAAATTCCACAGAAATCAAAATTTAGAAGGAACTGACAGGCATGAGTCCAACAAAGAGACTCTCCAGGACCTCCTAATACTGTGTCTAAATTGAATAGCCTTTCTGTTTTGGCTGCTGACCAGAGAGGCCCTCTAACTTTGCCAGAGAGTCCAGCACAGAGCCACCAAGATGATGAAGGGAGTGGAGCATCTCCCTGCTGAGGAAAGGCTGAGGGAGCTGGGGCTCTTTAGCTTGGAGAAGAGGAGACTGAGGGGTGACCTCATTAATGTTTATAAATATGTAAAGGGTGAATGTCATGAGGATGGAGCCAGGCTCTTCTCAGTGATGCCCAATGGTAGGACAAGGGGCAATGGGTGTGAGCTGGAACACAGGAGGTTCTGCTTCAACTTGAGAAGAAACTTCTTTCCAGTGAGGGTGTTGGAGCCCTGGGACAGGCTGCCCAGGGAGGGTGTGGAGTCTCCTTCTCTGGAGACATTCAAAACCCGCCTGGACGCCTTCCTGTGTGATCTCATTGAGGTTCCTGCTCTGGCAGGGGGTTGGACTGGATGATCTTTCGAGGTCCCTTCCAATCCCTGACATTCTGTGATTCTGTGAAAGCTCAGCACCTGCCCACCAAGATCTCTTGCAGTTCTGGTCTGGGAGGATCCTCAACCTTCTCCCAAGTAAGCTGAGGAGCCCAGTGGGTGGTACAGTGCTCAGACTCCCTTGAATCCAGCTCAAAAACAACTGTCAGGTCCCTTTTGTTGCAAAACCCATCGAGAGGGGCAAATGGAGTCACCCTGGCAGACTGTAACCACCCCTCTCCCACCTTCTCTGTAGAAACCACCAGGCACCTCATTGGTTCTTCTTTGAGGTCTGGCACTTGAAGGTTGGGCTTTGTGGTACCTCTCTTGGGGACACCTGTGTCCCTGCAATCACCTGTGGGTGCCATTGCTCTTGCTTTTGCATAACACTTGCAAAGCTGAGGACGAGCAGAAAGCAGAGAGCTGAAGACAAAAATAATGAAGGTCCTGAAGTTTCCCGGGGTCAGGATGGAGATGTTGATGCAGGAATAGCCCCGGTACGACAGTCCCAGCTCTGGTGGGAACAGCCCCAGTGCTTTCAGCAGTCCTGAGGCTCAGGGCCTGCGCTCACATCCTCTGTCAAGGATGGGAGCAGCTTGCTGCATCCCCATCGCTTGGGGAAGGACCAAATCCCCGTGGTTTGGTGAGAAGACTCAGGAGAAATGAAGTAGAGGGGAAGTTGTGTGAAAGTTTTTGGGAGGATGGGCTGTTGGACCAGGAGGGTTCAGTTTCCCACTCCATCAGTTCATGGTCTGATCTTGAGTGTCTGCTCAAGAATTGCCCAAAGCTGAGCTGAAGGTCCAGCCAGGGTCAGTAGGGAGCCCACAGCTCACCCTCACCGTAGGAGAGCTGCTTTTAGGGCCTCCAGGGCTGGTTCCAGCATCAGCCCAGGCAAGGGTGGTGTGAACAAAAATCCTCGCTCAGAGAGGAGGAGTCTCAAACATGACCTGTGTGGAGGGGCTTCAGCACACAAACGCTTGGAAAGCCACCAGGGAGGATGTAGAAATCTAAATTACACCATGTTTGAAACCTCTTCTGGGCTACAGAGGTCAGCTGCCGTCAGAGGAGGGGCTGTGGTTTCTTTATGCTCAGAGGGATCAGAGAAATAATTAACATTGAATGCACATGAGCACGTTGAGTCTTTCAAGAAGATGTTCAGCAGTTCCCTTGTTCCCACCACACTTTCCATGGCTGCATCTCCCTCCGTGGCTGTGCTGCAGGAACGACCTGCCCGCTGGTTGTCCGGGGCACAGACAACAACACTCCAGAGCAGCTGGGAGAGAGGAGAGGTTCCAGAGCCCGTGTCCCAGGGAACGGCCTGCCCCGGGGCAGGACAGAGGGCTTCCCAGCAGATGTTTGCCTGGGATGGGACATTGTTTGATCTCTGCTGTCAGCCACACACGCTGCAGGTGCGGGGTTGTTTGCAAACCCATCTGTGATGAGCAAGCTGGTGTGTGC